TAGCAATTTACGGATTTGAAGTTTTAAATTTAAATTATCATTCCCGATGAAGTAGCCAGAGAGATCTATATAAATCCTATATCCATGTAATGAAAGTGCCATTTCCATGTTCTGTTTAAATCGCAATTTCAAATAATTCCTTGTGTAAGGCTTAGAGTAACAACCAAAGCTTAGGACTGTCAAGCTATAATCCAAAAACATTTAGTTCTAGATTAACTCCGCCTTTTAAAGTTTAATAACGCTTAATGAGGGAGGAACTTAACGATTTGATTTTATACTAACTGAGTTAAATACACTTCATAAGAACAACCCATAAACCTACCTCAATTTTTCTTATGATCTCTATAATGACTTTTTCTCGCCCGAGGTGTGTTCAGGGGAAAATACGCATGGATCAGTAAACTTGTCCCCTAACCTTCTTCTGGTAAAAACGATGTTTAGGTCTAAACACTGCTAGAGTATAAAATACACATATCTTCTATATACGATTTAGCTGAATAATAATCTACGGACCAAGGACATAAATAACTTTTTATATTCACGCAAGATGCGTAGTATGTACCGAATCTAAGGAATAAACCTTCATATATATACCGAATACTGAAACTAAAAAACTAGAATCCTGTCACATGAAGTTTATTTGAGCTACAAAAGAATACTCACAGGAATCAACTCCGGTCACCTACGAAAAATCGATAATCCGTTGATAACTGCTAATCGTGATTTCTAAATAACTTTGGTATAACATGATCGTGCCATCAGGGCCCCTCAGCTCGGTGTTTTATTCGAAAATACAAAAAAACTTCGTGATCGAATTAATCTGTCCCAAGTCTTATATGTTACACTAACCACATTTGGCCAATATATCGAAATGCGCGATTAATATAAAGCAACTATTATTTTATAAAGATTATATAAACGTGATTCTATGAATACTCCAAGCGACTACTTTTATTGCATAATAAGCATCCACACAAAGCGTAGGCATTCGATTCATCCAAAATCAGTCATTATTTCATTCATATATAAGCGACGAGCGATGTTCAAAGTGTGAGGTGTAACTTTCGCACGCCCTGTAAGGCAATGTCATGTTACTATTACGCTTCTGAAATGTTACCTTTTCACTAGGGCTATAAAGTGGCTGAGGCTACAGAGAGAGCGAGAGCTGGGACGAAAATTTGCTTTCATTCTCAAACGATGATCTCCGAAAGTTATTGCATTTCTTTTTAACAGAATCCAGTAACACAATCTATGGCATCTTCGGATTATTATTCCTATTTGCGTATAACAGTACAGCTAATGTTTAAATTTCGTTCAATTCTAGCTGACCTGTTTATCTTTAAAATGTTTCCACCCAGCAAACACGTTGAAGACCCGATATCCTCTATTCAACGTCTAAAATAATTTCCAACTCGCAAATAGCTATAATTGTTACAACGTCTTTGTAGTCTGCTTGATAATAAATATTCTTACATAAGAACTGCAATAATAACATCTTCACAGTTATTAGAAGCATATGTTCGATCTACAGTTTGGCTTGTCTTACTGTTAATATATGAAGCTAGCTTTTTATCTACAGACGCACACCATTCAGTCGTAACTTGGGCTGAAGCACATCTCCCAGAAAGGGATTAAGCTATAAATGCAGCATATTGCGGGACTAGTAACTACGAAAATTTGTCACAGAGTCGTTGGGGCATTTATAGTAGAGGCGGTGCTAGTTAAGCAATAGTGGCTACGTTCATTCTGAAAGCCAGGCATGCATTAGATACACGAAGAATATACAGTAATATAAGCATTTTGCGCTTCAACGAGCTAAGCTAGCATGCTGTTTGAGTCAATATTGGGCGTGTACAAATGTAACTATAGTCGGTATCCGCGAGCAAACTAGCCTTATGTCTAAAAATATACCTTTTTTATTCGAATAAATAAAGTAACTTGCTTTTAAATACATAAAAATAAAAAAAAAATACAATTAATCTCTTTGAAACTAGCCAGGTACAGAGCACAGCAAAAATGTAATTATATTGTTATCACTTTATTTCCATTAAGCTTCATTCGATTCGAATAATGCAAGTATGGTCTTGAGAATAGTTACGTGCAGAGTCCTCTGCCTATTCTTAGGTATTGATTTGTGGCAGCATGGTTCACCAGATAAGGTTTGTCTATGCGAACCCAATTTTTCATTTCCATCGACCCTATGAACAAGGCCATAATCGTAACTAATTGCAGTATCTTTTTTCCGGTAGTCTGGTTTCGGCTACTGCCTTTCTTGATAACAGTAAGTGCGTCCCTGTCCGCGGTTGTCTTTTCACGCACACGTGTATGACCAATGTCATCTAGCATAACAAGACCGTAAGTAGTATACAAGCCGACACGACAACAGCCGTAAAGGCCAACTAGCACAAGAAAATAGTAGCTTTCGAACAATTCACCTTAGGTTACACTCTTTAAGGGATTCGATCCAAGTGTGACCGTTGTCAGCCGCTCTTCGTTGACGGGTTATCTGCAACCATCAGATTGGTCTGCTCAGGTTACACTACTAGAACTGCCTGCTTAGCTGGTTGATCGATGTTATCTTGCGACAATCTTCCTTTAGCCTGCGGGGGTGTTAAAGCACTCTGGGCCGTGCTACAGCAGAACTGGTAAAAACTGCAATTTTTACAAGCTTCAAGTTGCAAAGTACTGGATATCGGAATACCAGTGAAGATCCAAGTAATCGGCTTGTCGGCACATTATTTAAAAAATCAACCTTTCTTTGAGGAAAAATTTTTAGGTTACAATAATCTCAATTAGTGCCTTTCTCCACAAAACGTAGCTATTATATAGCATGACTGTACAGTAAACTAGCGGTACAGTGCCAAATATTTTTGCTGAAGGAAGCTGCTAGCTCCGAAGCGTTTCCGACAAAGCGAGGGTCCTTTGGTAGCTAGATATCGTCGCCACGAGTATATCGCTTGGTCTCCCATGTGCCCTTAAGATCAGCTATATCAGAACGGCTAATTGTCGCGTTTCACGGCGGGTTAGCGTTTGCACAATAGAGTCGCATCGCGATAGAAACCGAGAGGAAACCTCACTGAAAAGGAAAGACAGAGGGAGAGTAAGAGACAGCTCAAACAGACAGACAGCTATAAGCCCGTTCATAAGCGTCTCCGTCCAGGCCCGCCTGATCCCGTCTGTTTGAGAATACTCATCATCTATATGATCGGCACCGATGTCCAACTTGTCGTAGCTCTGTCAGGATTGATATAACATTATTGCGCCACTAACGATGCAACAGGAACCCCAATGTGTTCTGGCTTTGACAGATCTATCGGTAAAGAGTGAAGCAAAGATTACGTCTTATTGAGGATCTCTGCTGGCCTGCAAGTAGGCTTTTAGACTACCAAGCAGTTAGAAAGAGGCCCAAGACATCCGTTTGGTTGTGCAACGGATTTGAGGTACCTCTATATGGGCTCGTTCTAGGCGTGAACCAACTCAGTTGTGATTAGTATAGTACATATCTGAAAATAGATGTAACTCAAATCAACTATTTGATGATTAAAGGACATGGCCTGGTACCAACGGCGCCGTTAACTGGCGCGATGGGTCAACTTTAATTTCATATTTTAATCATTAAACTATAACATGATGAATAAGGGTGGTTTTTCCCTGTGTATTAATTGCAATCAGTGAATCATAGATATCGAATATTTGTGTGAACTAAATGGATACATATCATAAAATCAACATTCGACCGATCCAACATGAGCCTTCATATTTTGCTTTTAAGGACAGTAGCCAGGGAATTTAGGCCCTACCATTTAGCTAGAATGCATTAAGTAATCAATTTCATAAATATTGTAAATGTCTGTAAAAATTAAATGATTAATCGTCACATGTAATTATGATCGATTTGGACAAATATTATGATATTTGAATTAAATTTTAAATTGTTAGTAGCAAAAAAGTAAGTTAACGTCAAATGTGTAGTAGATTGTGTGGTATACTATCTACTGGATATACACTTACTGAAAAAAACAATACAGAGTTCAATTTGTTGGAGTATACCCTTAGCTAATGGTAGGACGTCTCCACGTCATTGCGCAAAAGTTCTTTTATGACTATTTTTGTTGCGAAGGTAGACATTTCTGTAACACTGGCGTTCAATATGAATATCTCGCCTGGCCTTCGTAGTTCTATTAATTATGACAAATCGCAATTTTCTTTTGTAACCGTCATAGTTCAGACGACACAATATTATTGATCGTTTTATAAGTTCCTACAATGTTTTCTGACTTCTTCCTTATTCTATCCTTAGATCAACCTTTCTTTGTTTCCAGGGTTTTAGTTTCCAGTATATCAGGTAAGAAATTTCTACCATTTCGATCGTGGGTGCTGAAGTGAGGGTTGAGTTTGCGGTGACACCTTTCTAGGAACATTTTTTTTTCTATAGTGATTGTCATTCCTGCTGTGCTTTTACGTCGTCCTCAAGCTTGCTGCTGTTGATCAGGCAGTCAATCACTTTCAGCCTAAACAGTCTCCTAGAGCCCGTATCTTCTCTTTTCGGATTCCTTAAGGCCGGAAGAACATGGAGCATCCATCCGTTGCATCGGAGCTTGCTAGTGCTTCAAATAACAAAAGCACGGTCTCAGTTCGGACTCAACCATAAACGGGAAATGGTGGGGGATCTATAAGAGAACTGATAGATATCAGGTCTGTAGTAATGCAGCCGCTGCAGTTCGCTGGTGCAATCGACTCCTTACGTGCTGTGCCCATCCTAGCGCTCTATCGCAGTGGCGGCGGTGGTGTATAATGAGATGTATCCCCTCTGTATCCTCCCCTTATTGCTACAACCCGCCACTGCCAACCAAAGGGATTGGCTTACACTACTGTGGTCCCTCCCACATCAAGAGGCTCCGCCTTCGAAAAGATGAAACAGCGGTTGAAACACCGTGATGGGTCAGAATGATCTGAAGGAAGATCTCGAGAAGTTCTCAGCTAAAGACGAACGAAGAAGAAGGTCTGCCAAAAAGATCCGAGAAGAGATCCAGTGAATCTGTTGAACGCTGAGTTAATACTAGGTACTTATTAAAGTCGAAAAGTTAGTTGACGACAAATCAAAGCTGAGCACGGGTCTGAGGTGTAATGTCCGTTGAACGTAGCAAAAAAATACCAATGGAATGTTAAATGTGGCAATTTATGTGTGCTGACCTAATCTAGTGATACGGCCCATCTGGAACAATAAACTAATTTCCATCAATTAAGGTACGTCAAATATATCAGCTGACTAACAATATAGGCGGCATATTTATTTTGACCTTTTTAATTTCTACAATTTATTGCGGTAGGTGAAACGGCCAAACTGTTGTCATAGATGTCAAATGGTACTGCTATATCGGCAGTTATAACAATCGTTGGTGATATACATATTCCTTTCAAACGTTCACCTAGTCCGAATAATTTCCACTAAACATTGCAGTGATGGACTGTCGTTCGTCATTTTTGTTTGGAACATACGCCTTACCTTCAAATAATAGCAGCTGTCATATTGATTACTTAGGAATTAGCTTTAGAACAAAAGTATTGGACTGTGGTGAACCTTATCATTTCCCAGTAGTTAATAAACCGAAGTTGAAAGGCAAAAGTATCTAAGCTGTTGACCAACAAGCCCCATATAAATGTTATTACGATAGTATGAAATCATTTTTCATTTACATAAAATTGGTTTTCAAAGGTAAGTAGAAATATGTGAGGCTACTAATATACTGAGACTATTCTCATTCTTATTTCTAAGTTAGTCTCGTTATGGACGGATGCATTCCACTTGTGTATGCACTTAGAGTGATATCCATCACATCAAACGACCAATAAGCACTGGGTGGTGCAAAGAGTTTTGTAAACGCGGGCAAGTATGCGCATGCAAAATCTGAACTAAACACAACTGAATATGGGTGCATTTTTCATTTGATTTGCCAATAAACTTCCTAATTTAACCATGTATCATTCCTTCTAATAAAATGTAATCTGGTCTAATTTGAATAAATGCATCAGATGCTGAAGCAACAGATGGGATATACACTGTAAGGATTACCCATATATGCATGAATCGGTATCATTACCAGGCATTTTGTTCGGCACTTTGTAGGTGTCAATGTTGGTGCGGGCCTCTCAGCAAACACGCGCTGACAGAGATAGTGTCAACAAATTGACAACAGATCAATGGGACATCGAACAGTTCTAGTAACCGTTAGTTAGCAAATGCCAGCCTTTGCATCGCTTGGTTGCTTGCTCGTTGAACTAGTGCCGGGAACCGTTGTTGGTAGAACTCATGACTAAGAATTAATATAATATAGTAAATATGTATATATACTATGCATAGAGTAATGCCAGCAATTGCTGATCATAGTACTTCAAGTTACATGTGTTACGACTAAGGTTGCTTCCTTTACTTACTAAGTCCAGATTATACGAGATGAGAGCGTTTTGCTATATTGCGAGTTCACCTTGAACGATTAAATATTTAAGCATAAGTAACTCATTCTACAAAAGTTGTGTTTTTAGCAATAGGCAGTGTAAGGCTTGGTCTGGAACGCCAGAAAGCCGCTTGATATGAACTAGACACCGTTGATTAACAAAAAAAGTATCCCTCCTTACAAATGGATTAGAGTTATGATCTCAAGCATGCAGTTGTCTAAGAACAAACGGAGTAAGCATGTCCTCATTGTGGTATCCAGTTTAAGGGACGACACTAGCTTCCTAATAACCATAACATTATGTCGTTTATCTGTTATAACTATTATTAATAGTTGTGTTACTTTATTTATTTACAGAAAGCTTTTCGATTAAAGGACAATGCGTATTATAAATGGAAAAGATTTATAAACATATTAAAAATGTCTGCCAAGATGTGCACAATGCTGGGGTGTTAGCAGTTTGTTTATTCTTTCATTGCGGTATAGGCAGAGATTCATAACACTCTGCCTATCCAAGCCGCTATCATTAAAACGCTCATCATGCCCATTATGGGTGTCAACTAATTTCGCCCACTTCTGAGGGACAAAGATATTGCAAGTAATTCAATAACAGATATTACTCTAAGCTATTATAAGACAAACGAATGTGGAACTCCACTGTAAACGACAATTTTTCTAATGCTGACAAATAACGGAATCCTTACAACTTAGCCAGTCCGCTCAAATAATTATATAGATCCAACGCTCATGCAGTGAAGAAAAATATCGTTGTCTGAAAAACCTGTACACCTGCTTAATTAATACTGCCCTGCGAAATACCAATAAATTGAAAGCACTTCTAGAAACTGTAGTGTGTTTCTGAGCGTTATGTATATTTTGGCTATACAAGACAATTAATTCGTAAGTTTCTTTTTTATTAGATATTAATAAAGCAACTTCTCGGAAACACAAGTAATTTTTCTACTACATCGTGTTGGTAACCTGCTGCTATTTTCAGCCGTATAATGAGACCACAACTTAATGAATGCAGATCCTAACAGTTCTTAAAAAAGAGGAACGGGGCTACGTAAATCCGCTTGTCAAAAAATAACATGTGCTTGAAACACCAAAACACTCTATTTCATACCTGTGGAATAAACTTATATATTTTAACTCTTCTTTGCATAAGGTTTTCAACTTTCTATTGTCTCCTTTGGTATTAATATAACACTAACAGTGGTTATTTATTTTTATTAGGTCATAGATCTTCGAGAAGCAATAGGCACCGATTCATAAACCTCGACCAGCCGCCGGTCAGTTCGGCTTTAACGAGCATAAAATAAACATGTCAGATTGCCCCTTAGTTCGCGGCGGCGGGGCTGCCACGCCTCCAGGAGAAAAGGGTGTACGCCGACCAAAATGTGCGCGTTGTCGAAATCATGGTGTCATATCCTGGCTAAAAGGCCATTCGCGTCACTGCCAATTTCGGGACTGCGCGTGCGCTAAATGCAATTTGATTGCTGAGCGTCAGCGTATAATGGCGGCGCAAGTTGCACTTAAAAGGCAACAAGCTGCCGAGGATGCCATTGCGTTAGGTATGTAGTCATAGCTATAGACTAAGGAAACCAACAATTGTTATTAGTCTTTGATTCTGACCCAAAAGTTTGTTTTAATGAAGATAAGTTTAGGTTGATAAGTTGATACGATAGCGAAGTTATCTACTTGTAAACATCCATATTGAGTGCTTCCGGAAGTTTCCGCTACTTGTTTCAGCCCATTGTAATTTGAAAGCACCAACGGACACCGGCTTGCGACTTTTTTAAAAAAATATGCAGTTATTTCCATCAAAAGAGTTGCCTGCAAGATATGTTACTAGGAATTCCAAGTGCATAATAAGCGTGAGAAATAGTGAATTGCATTTATTTGATTGTGACCTTAGTTTACATATTTTTTACTATAGAAATTACGAAATAATGATGGATGACCATTTGATCTAGAGGAATGTACGGACACAACTAATGTAACGAACTATATGTGGCTGAGTCATTCGATGATAGTTAAAAGGGAGACACGTGTTTTTAATTATCATTATCATTCTCAATATTATCCGTACTTACATGTAGTAAAAATGCATTGCTGTGGCATTTTTTATTGGTTTGAGAAGGGGACACACCTAATTTCATTCTATTCAATGATATAGAATGCGTCTACTTCAATTATTCTGTTGGTGTTACTTGATACAACTCGTAATTACGTGCATATGAAGATCATTTCTTTCTGTTAGTTGAACGCAAGCAAGCGAAACAAGGTATTTCAACAATGTTATGACTAGTATGTAAAAAAAAAATTCTTACATTTGTGCAGGCCTGCGAGCTGTCGCCACTGGATCTTCTCTCGAGTACCTACCTCCAGGGCCAATCTTTGGACTACCTCTTGCTGCCAACGCGGTATCTGCCAAGAAAGCGCAAATGCAACAGCAAAGAAGAAAGAACCTTGAAGAAAACGCAGAGCATGCTGATGAGTCTAGTCTTCAAGATAGCCAGAACTGTACAACCGCAACAGCTGCAGATACAAACAAATCCGACGACAACGAGTCCGGTGAGTTAGAAAGACTTGTTTATCTCACTTCATGTCAGAATAATAACAATGATTCAATCTCTCACAATGAAGGGCACACTTCACATATAACTAGGGTAATAAAATATTTGTGTCCTATATTTCACGGCATTCGGACTTTACATTTGGGTTAGATCATTTAACATCTACGCTTTTTCTTACCTATAATATGACGTGGTCAGTTATTATACAGGTCATCTGTATAATAATGATCACTTCAGAACACACGCTTACACGCTTAGAAAACGACATAGCGAAATTGTTATCTCTTATTTAAAATAAGAACTATACGAAAGATTACCAGACAATGACGAGATCAGTTTATTAATATTACTACTATAGTGAAAACAACTGAGGTTCTCGTTTTACCATGTGATCACCTCAAACGTACGCCGGTCAAATGAACACGTTTGACTCGCGTATGTTGAAAAACATGTCAACGAGAAGGGAAATGATGATGGTAAATCTATTGACAAATGCTATTAAAACACACTCTATGTCGATTGTTTCTTATATCTTCCTCAATTAGTTAATTCTAACTGAAACTCCGAAATCCCTAGGTTTGACGCAGCGGCTTCTCGCACATTTGGTTGGTATCTTGCGATTATTAGAGAACTAACGTGTCATGCGGCGTGACTAAAGTAGCAACGATTTAGTGTTCTGAACAATTCGCTGATTTTTGACAAAAGCTGTAATCATTAATGTGGTGCGATATTTGAGTTAGCTGACTATCGAGACGATGGTCGCCGTTGTCAGTAACTATCATCCTATTTATGTTTGAAACTAAGCCTACAATCCAAGATCTAGGCGTTTAAAGAAATGCTTGACGGCAAGGCCAGATGTTAAATTAAAACATTGAAGGTTATGAAATTGAATGTATAATTTCATTTACTATTATGTACAACTTCAAACCGAAAAAGCCGGGTCACATTTGCGCTTTTGGACTTCGGTTGTCAATAATATACGCGCGCCAAACGCTACAAAAGATATAGCGTTTGGCGCGCGTCACGCGGCTATCTTTGGTTTAAGATGATTCGATTGGTTTTTTATTGTTCCGATTTTTAAGACGATACGTTGTGAGCCGAACTACACTGAATTAACAACTGGGCAGATAAAACCCCTACAAGACGTAGTTTAGCGATTTAAAAGAATCATTCATTGCAGATCTATACAAATTTGATATTACCTTGTAATTGAAACTTAACTTTTAAACATTTTGTGTCTACCACATACTGCGGTCCTGTTTGAACAGAACTGGAATGTTTTCTATGGAAATGTCGAAATTCAATTTCATGTAAGGTTATTTATGGACATCCATTACGCTCAAGCTTCTCTCGAGTAAGCACTTTTTAACGCAAGTTATTACTATGTCTACAATTTCAGTACGTAAGTAAATGTGAGCCATGTAACCACCATATTGAAAAGCTGAAGCAATAATTTTTTTGCTAATATTGAGTTTTTTCGAATATTTTTGAATATTAATGATATAACAATTTTGAATAACTTTTGTGATAATTTTGAGCAGCAGTTTAGGCTAGTACACAAGATATATTTTTGTTGTGGTCGTTACTTATACATAAGGTAGCCTTTACTTAAACATATTTCGTTTCGAAATTACTGAGCTTTTCTGTTTCTTATCACATGTACACAAGGTATGAGCTCTATACAATTAGTGATCGTTCAAACAGGTAGTTTCTTTTTTATTTACCGACGCACTGTTGTAGCGAAATAAAAACTGCTTAATTCAAGCCTATAGCTTACTGAACGTTGTAGTATAATCTAAAATATATTTATATAACAAATGCAGACGGTTTACTCAACGAACTGCATCGATGAGGGGTTTTGGTTCTTTCGCTCGTTTTTCCATTATAATATGAATTCATAT